CTGCGGAAGAACGGTGGCGATGACGGACGATGCCGACGATTGTGGTGATAATCGCGCCTCAGAGCGGACCAGGGCGCTCGCTCGACCGCCGCCCAGTCTCCTCGGCTCGGTCCTCGGCTCGCGCGCACAGGCCCATGATGGCGATGATGGCGATGATGGACGATGCCGACGGTTGCGGTGGTCATCGCGCCTCAGAGCCAGAGCGGACCAGAGCGCTCGCTCGACCGTTGCCAAGAATCGGCGTGGCAGGGCACGGACGCTACAGATCGCCGGTTTTTCTGGACGGGAGTCTGGATTTCAGCAAAGTCTGGCCAGCCTTAAGTGGTCCTGGCTTTGAGCTGTCTCTTCCGACGGGGTTTGGAGAAGGCTGAAGGCAGCACTGCGCTCAGACAGTCTTTCAAGTCCTGTCTGCATAGTCCTGCATAGACCTACTTCCTCCCTCTGCAGAACTATCCGCATCGTCATCAGCAGCAGCATCAGCAGCACCATCAGCAGCAGCAGTCTCATCATCAGTCATCATGATCATCATCAGCAGCATCATCATCAGCATCATCACCATCATCATCACCACTACCATCAGCATCATCCTCATCATATTCATCAGCAACATCATGATCATCCTGGTCATCATCGTCATTATCATCAGCATCATCATCACCGTGATCAGTATCATCATCATTAACAGCATCATCACCATCACCAGCCATGATCAGCGTCCGCATCGTCCTCCTAATCCTCATCCTCCTCTGCCTAATCAGCATGATCCCCATCATCGTCATCATCACCACCACCATCAACATCAGCATCGTCGTCGTCATCGTCATCGTCATCATCAACAGCATCAGCATCAGCAACATAGTTGCCATCATCAGCATCATCAGCATCATCATCGTCGTCGTCATCAACATCATCATCAGCAGCAGCATCACCATCATCCTTATCATCATCATCGCCATCATCATCGTCATCAGCATACTCATTATCATCATCGTCATCATCATCGTCATAATCATCCTCATCGTCGTCGTCAGCATCATGATCATCCCCGTCTCCTGCTTCCTTATCACCATCATCAGAATCAGCCTCATCGTCAACATCATCATTATCAGCATCATCATCCTTATCACCACCATCATTATAACCATCACCACCAGTATCAGCATCATCATCGCCGTTATCATCATCACCACCACCACCATCACAATAATCATCATCATCATCATCATCATCATCATCATCATCATCATCATCACCACCACCGTGATCATCATCACCGTCATCATCGCCATCGCCATCGCTATCGCGATCATCAGCAGCAGCATCACCATCGTCATCATCGTCATCAGCATCAGCATCATCAGCAGCAGCACCATCAGCAGCAGCAACATCATAATCATCATCACCACCAAGAGCGCGCTGGTGTGACCCACTCCACCGTCCCCACACGCGCGCGGGAGCGCAAGGGGAGGAAGCAGGAAAGAAGGGGAAAGATGGCGGAGGGGTAGGACGTAGAAGAAACAGGAGAAGGAGGAGGATTAGCAGGAGAAGGAGGAGGAGGAGGAGGAGGAAGGAGCAGCCTCAGCCTGCCTCCTCCTAGAAATAGTCCCCAGCATGCTGCCTCCTCCCGCCTCATCGAGCCTCCTCCTTCTGCCTCCTGGGCATTATCTTGATTCGACAGACCTAGTTATGTTCCATCCTCCTCCTCCCACTTCCCCGCAATACCTCCCAACCCCCCTCCTCCTCCTTTCCCTCCCTCCTTCCCCTCCTTCCTTCTCCTCCCTTCCCTCCCTCCTCCCCTCCTCCACAATGCCCGTGTAGGGCACGGCACGCGAGCAGTGTATGTCTCGATTCGTCTGTCGCCACCTACTGTGGGGGATGGGGGTTTCATGAGAGTAGGGTGGGGGGTACGGACTCCTTGCTTCGGTTCGACGCGTCTCGTCCGCTCTGATGCGGGGGTCCATTCGTGCTGTGTGACCTTGCCTCACTTGGTGCCCGTGCAGATCACCGCTTTTTAGTTCAGCCGGCCTGCCTGACTGTTCTTTAAACTGTCTGCGAGTTGCAGCGCCACTCTCTCGCGACAGCCGCCAGGTTCATCGCGCGCGCAATCCAAAAATCCCTCCTCCCCCCTCCTCCTTCCTTCCCTCCCTCCTCCTCCCCCCCATACCCCTCCATCCCTCCCTCCTTCCACTCCTACTCCCTCCTCCTTCCCCTCCTGCCCCGTATCCCCCCTGCTCCTCCCTTCCCCTTGCAGAGCGCCGCGAGGCCTCGACCCGCAAGAGGACAACGTCGGCGGCCCCCTGGGGACGGCGATGCGACGCCTCGAAGCTCCTCATCACTCTCTTTCGCCTTCCTCCCCGTCCTTCTCCTCCTTCTTCTCCTCCTCCTGATCATCAGCATCCTCATCATCAGCATCATCACCATCATCATCATCATCATCATCATCATCATCATCATCAGCATCATCATCATCATCATCACCAGCATCATCCTCACCAGCAGCAGCAGCATCGTCATCATCATCGTCATCATCATCAACATCATCATCATCATCAGCATCATCGTCAGCATCATCATGATATCATAACCATCATCATCCCATCATCACGATCATCATCAGCAGCATCAGCATCATAGTACTCATCACCATCATCATCCTCATCATCGTCGTCGGCGCATCATCATCATCATCATCATCATCACCACTACCACCACCACCACCACACACCACCACCACCACCATCACCATCACCATCACCATCACACCACCACCACCACCACTACCACAATCATCCCCGTCCTCTCCTCTCCTCCTCGCTCGTCTCCTCCTCCTCCTCCCTCCTCCTCCCTCCTCTCCTCCTCCTCCTCCTCCTCCTCCTCCTCCTCCTCCCCTCCCTTCCTCCTCCTCCTCCTCCTCCCCTCCTCCTCCTCCTCCCTTCCTCCTCCTCCTCCTCCTCCTCCTCCTCCTCCTCCTCCTCCTCCTCATCCTCCTCTCCTCCTCCTCCTCCTCCCTCCTCCTCCTCCTCCTCTCCTCCTCCTCCTCCTCCTCCTCCTCCTCCTCCTCCTCCTCCTACTGCGCCTCCCCCCGACACTCTCGCCATTTCCCTCCTGCTCCTTCTGGTCCATTTCCTTCGTGCGCTGCCGCCCGCGTGGGCAGGGCGGGCGCCGGCCAATGGCGGGCTACTCTGACGACTACTCTGACAACGACTCTGACGACGACTCTGACGATGACGACGACGGCGACTCTGACGACGGCGACGAGAACGACGACGGTGACGATGACGGTGACGACGACGGTGACGACGGTGACGACGACGACGACGACGACGACGACGACGACGACGACGACGACGACGACGACGACGGTGACGACGGTGACGACGGTGACGACGACGACGACGACGACGACGACGACGACGACGACGACGACGACGACGACGACGACGACGACGTCCCGCCAGTCCCACACTGGCCGACCGTGGGCACCTGTTCCTGGGACCCTTCGCGGCACAGGCGGTAGGCTCAAAACCCGTGCAGGAAGGAGGGCTACCAGGCACCCTTGCTGCAACGCCCCAGGTGCTTATGCGAGGCCAGCGTGGGCCCCAGGCAGTAAGCTGTTGCACTGTGGATGTGCTAAGCCATGTGGTGCAAGCCATGTGGTGCAAGCCGTGTGGTGCAAGCCGTCGGCATGGAGAAAATCTGGCTCCACATCGTCCCGCATCGCCGATTCATCGGCGATACGGCGCCACCCTCCGTCGACCCCATCTGCTCGGGCCCCATGTGGGAGGCCTGGACCAGGTCCTCCCCCCCTCCTTCTCCTCCTCCCTCACCTCCTTGGACAACCCCCGAGACGAGCCTCGAACCTCAATCAATCGACTGGCGCCCCACCCACGCGGGTCCGCCTTGGCGCACAGCTGGCCCACGAACACCAGGCCGTCCGGGCTCGGGTCCTCGCACGCGGGGGCGCGAGTGGGACGCAGAGAGACACCGCAGTACGGCGAGGGCATTGGATATGTAGTTCAGGGGTCCAGGGTCTGGAAGCTGGTGGAACATCAATGGAGGCATCTGGATATCGCCGCCGCCCTCATCAGACAAAGAACCCTCGAGAGTCTGAAGCCGCCTGGGCACATTGCTTAACGAAGTCCCCCACCATGGTACCGTGAGCTTCGGGGAGACTGGCCCAAGGGGGGGAAAACATCGAGCTGGAATCGGCGATACAGCTCTGATAGATCGGCGATAAGCCCTCGATGGCGAAATCGCACGGTCCTGGGCGGAGTGGGCTATCGGGCCCCTAAAAGCGATGAGTGGGAGTTCGGGGGGCCGATGCATCCCCCACTGGGCCTGTCCCCTCCGAACGTTGCCCCTGCTGGCGGAGGCGCACGTCCGACCCGAATATGCAGCACGACCTCTTCCAGCATGTCGTTGCCCGAGCGGTCTGACCAGGAAGCGCCCGCCACGGCGCTCATACTGACAAGATCTGGTTCCATGGGGTGCCAAGGGGGGGTACTTCGTAACGGGGTCGCAGAGCACATGCAGCAGCTCATGCTGTGGGGCAAGGCGCGTGGCAACAGCGTTCTAATGTTGCACGACGTTCGTATCCCGCACGAGCGACTGCAAGAGCTGTTGCGCACATGTTCGCGACCCCCGTTGCGAAAGACCCCTTCGCCCGCATGCGAGAGATGCTTCCGTGTGCGCGCCGCCCCTGCGGAAGCGACGCACACGTAGTGCACAGGCACGTCCGGGCGCGACCGCGCGGAGGGGCGCGGCCCCCTGAGGCAGCGGGGCAGCCCCATGTTTTGGTTGCTTATTCTGGGGACTTTCCTGGAGCCACTCGCTCCACTCGTGCGTCGAAGCTGCGTCGAACGTCCGTCGACTTGAGTCGACCCTGAGTCGACCCTGAGTCGACCCTGAGTCGAACCTGAGTCGAATTTGAGTCGACCTTGAGGCGAACTGGGGTCGAACTAGAGTCAAACAGATCAGTTAGGTGGGCCCCAGGAAGGTCC